CAGCAGGAAGCAGGAACAGAGAGAGAGACCCAGATGTGATATGAGGGTCCATAAGGAGGAGATGGGGGAGAATGGGAGAAGGAAGATGGAGGTGTGAGGTAAAAGGAAAAGAGCTGGCCTTTTTCCAGTCACCGTTTCCCAGGTCCACCTCCAACACAAGGAATGACATCTTTAAATCTAGAACTTCTTGCCTACCTATCCTCCTGAATTTGGACCTCAGTGTGCCTTAATATCTATACTTGCCCCTTCCCATCTCAAATGCACTTTAAAATTGTGCTTTTCTTTAAAATGACACTTTTCTGGTTTTGCAGTATTCTCAATCAGTATCTTACTGAGACTATCACATTACATGTTACCATTACCATTTTATGACTTTTAAAAATTAAAAAATTAAAATTAGAAAAAATTTGAGAAAGTCAGAAAAAAAGGTTTGATCTGTGTCTCTGTGTTTGTGTATGCATAAAACAATTTACACTTTAAAATGTCTTATGTTCTAATAAGGAAAGTAACAGGTTTATTGTAGACCATAATGCAAAGCAGAAATTAAAACCACGCCTACCTGGTTGTAGTAGGGAATATGTAAAACTGAGCAAAAATGCTTGCATATGTTGAATGTTCAATAAACTGAATTGGGAACACATTGTTTCTGCAGATTTGAATACTTATTTTCCACTGAAATTATATTCTCAGAAATTTTTGATGTCACCAAATATTCCTTGAAACGTGCATTTAATAATTTATATCTGTTTATGCCTATGATGAACACTTTTTTATATAAATCTTTTTTAATCTCATATTTTTTTAATTTTATTTTAGAACTAGAATATGAAGGGCTAGAAATGTATCGCTGCTATTTTAAAGTGCATTTCATTTATTTGTGAGTCTGAACATTGTTTTGTGGTGATTGACCATTTTTCTGTATGGGTGTGCGTGCCTTTCTATTTGGATTGTAAGAGCTCTTTGTATGTTAATGACATTAGCCTGTTGAGTTTGATACTTACGGAGACACTTCTTTTTATATTTTCATGTATCTTTTAATTGGGATTATTTGTGTGAGGGGGGAACTCAAGGGGGTGTTTGGCTTTTTTGTTTTATATTCCATTGCTTTTATTATATAAGTCTTCTCTATCTGGGAATTAAAAATATATATGCCTATTTTTCTTAGATTCTTTTTAAACTTCAGTTTTCCTAGAAAATTTTTAATATATGATATGGAGTAAAGATGAATGTTTTTTTAGTAGTTTACTGACCAGTTGTCCTTCCCACATATTTCTGTAATACCTTCTTTAGCATAATAGTCTTATTTTCATTCTCTTTTTAAAATTGGGCATGCATTTTATAACATTATATGTTTTAGAACTGAGTCTGGCGATTAAGACAAATTTTCCTGTAATAGAGAGCTGTCATATTAAAATACACATTATATTTTTTCAATTTTATGTACTTTAGAAAATGAATGGTTAATGCAGACTTTTAATTTTTAATCTGTCAATTGCTTAATGACAGACCTCTCTCAGCAAAATAGCAGACTAGGTGTTTATTACAGCCTGGGTCTCTGAAGCTGTCCTCAGATGTTTTTGCTTACCTGCAGGATGCCTGAGCTAGCTGTTTATATATCTCAGTTTTACTATGATGTGATTTTCAAGATCATTATTTCTATCAGATACGGGGATAATGCATTTTGTTCTATAAAAATAATGCTTCTACAGATTACCAACTATCATGTAAATCAAAGTTTGGGTAATTTTACAAATAATTTCGAAAGATAACGTTTTCATTTTTCCACTTTGTTTTCATCTTTTTGTTTCAGATAGTCCATTTTTAATTGAAGGAAGCTGCTTCTACTTGGGAGTGGCAGGAGAAGTAAGGAAACCACATGGAAGACTCCCAGGACTTAAATGAACAATCAGTAAGTCTTAATTCAATCTCAGTTTTGCTGAAAAATGTTGTGGTAAGACTACTCAAAATCATACTAAAAAGAATATATTGTAAAAAGCAAGTTTTTTGTTATTTTTTAGTTGATTTTTTAATTCTCTTTCAAGATCATAAAACAGACCTTTGGAAATGTATACTCTTTCGGATTAATGATATCATATTTTGAGGTCTTCCTTGATTGTCTACTTGTAAAGCCAGTGGTAGAAAAATGAGGGCATTGAAATCATGCTGAGTGTTTTTGACGGTCTCAACAACTTTACACACCTCCTTTGTTGGGTTTTATTCCAGATGTGCTTGATAGTGCATGTGTTGTTGAATGTCAGAAGCATGAAAGGAGAAGCATATTACTAGCTTGCTTATTGTTCATTTCAAGGATGGTGACCACAGTCCTGAAGGGATTTCCTTATTTGCTAAGCTCTTTGGAGAGTGAAGAATGCACGAGACTGGTGGCAACCATTTTAAGATTTGGATTTCTCAAAGGGAAAGAATTTATATGGCCTTTCCTCCTAACTTATTAGTAGTATCTCCACGACACTAGTTCTTTAGTGTGTGGAGCTGGCGTCAGTGGGAGCTCTTCCCCCACAATCCCACAGTTCTGCCAACTGCGGCCCAAGCTGTTCTGCCCACAGACAACTAGTGATGTCACAAGTAAGGAGCTACGTGTACTTACTACGTGTGTGTTATGCAGACCGATGCTAGTCTCCATTAGCTTGTATAATTATGACATGAACTTAAAGTCTCATGTTTCCATCAGGCAATAGAGGACAGTGTATTGGTGTATAATAATGTGGTTCTAGAAACGATTTCTATAACAAGTTCAATTTAAAAAGTCAGAATAATGTGTGTTCTGGTGCATACATACCATTCTAAGTTAATTTAATTTATTTTCTATTAAGTATTTCATTTAGATGAAATGATAATCAAGTTTTTAATTTACAGACAGACATCATGACCATTATCTAATTTCTTTGTACATTATATTATTATTTAATTTCACACGGCATCATTACAGGAAAAATGTAACAAAAAATTACAAAGCCATAAGGCTATTAAAAAATCTGTCAAATGGTAGAGATATTATTCCTCAAAAATGGCTCGAGATTTTACAAAAGTAGACAAAAGGCAGTTGGGAGGCAGGGGCTTCAAGGTAGTTGTTTTAAAATTCTGGTTATTGAATTATAAGTATTGGTAGTGTAGACTCTAGCAAAAGGGACAATAGTGAGCATGATGATATGTCGCCCATGCCATTTTATGTTTTTGGATCCCAGTGGCATCAGAGGTCTGTAAGTGTGACCATATACGTACCTGAGTGAATGATGACATGATCTTTGTGGCGATGCTTCATGAGAGGACTACTGTCTATCTGTACTTTGTTCTAACACACTGAGGATTTCTTAAAAGTTTGTGTCCATGTGTGCAAGTATGCGTGAGTGTGTGTGTGTGTCTGTGTTAGACTGACCAACTATCCCTGTTTTCCAGAGACCCAGGAATTTCCTGGGACATAGAATTTTCAAAGCTAAAGCAGGTAGAGTCTGTGCAAACAGGGATGGTTGACCCAGTTAATTACCTTAGGCTGTGTATATACTTAAGAACAAATTTTTGCTTCAATACAGTTGAAAGAGGTTAAAGAGAATATAGTTTTAGGTTTACCGTTAGAGTGAGGTTATTACCCCAAATGCTTCATACCACCTTTTAAAGAGTGAAACCCAGCACTTGTAAATCGTATAGAGTTTCCTTCCAGTGATATTTTAGGGCTGTGGAACTCAGTATTTAAAAAAAAATTAAGTTCTCAGTGTTGTTAATATTCAGCCAGGTTTGAGAATCAGAAGTCTTGGGTGACCTCAGCTCAAACCCAGCTGCTGAATCGGTGGTGAGAATGGGAGAGATTTTGAGAGAAGGAAAGATGGCTCTCCATTCTCCCTTTCTCTTTTCCTTCGCCAACACTGAACTCTCCATCTGAGGGTTATGGTCCCGTCAGAGTCAAATTGACAGCTCCTGATCTGTGGAGTGGTTTGATAGGCCGTCAAGAGTGGGCACTTCTGCTTTAAACCACAGGAAACGAAGTTTGCATCACGTGTTCGTGGCTTAATTGCTTTGGTTTTTATAAACATCATAAAGCCTTCTTCTTCAGCATTCTTAGACTTATAAGAACAGACAGGCTCATCTGTTCATCTTGTCCATGTGCAAAGGGACACTTGAGTCTATTAAGTCCCAAGTCAGAGTTGGGACTTTGCAATGGTCTTCTGACTCCAAGTCCAAAGCTCTCTCCATGCCTTATCGCATTTGAGTTTTCTTATTTGGACTTTCCTCACTATAGAATCAACTCCCATTACATTGAAATGATTCCTGTTTGAATGAAATCTTTTAAGTGACTTTAAATCTTCCAGAGTATATTGATTAATGTCTCAAAGTTTTTTGAAAAATGATACTTAGTGTTTATTAAGATATAGAACAAATAGGGTGAAATTAAAAGAGAGCTCATAATAAGATGAAAGGGAATTTACTTAGATCATAGCTATTTTACTTCAAGAAAGAGTTTTTTTTTCTCTAGGCATAGACATAACAATAGGTGCCAGTTTGCGCACTTAATGCACATCTAGCATTTTCTGTATACTCTCTCCCATCCTTACCATATCCTTGTAATGTGTTTGTTATAGTCACCATTTTACAGATAAGGAAACTATGGTTTAGAGACTATTAAGCTCAAACAACTCTTAAGTAGCAGAGATTAGAATTGAACCCACTGTTAGTTAGTCCTAAAACCTGTAATGAATGGATTTTGCATGATACAACGTAAGGTAAGGACTTGAGTTGTGAAATCAGACATCTCTGACACTTATATACCATTGGGAAATTTCTCAAACTCTTCCTCAACTGTAGAGTGGGGAGGATAATAAAAAGATGTTATAAGAAGGACTCAGCACATGCCTTCCTTAGAGTAAAAACTCAATAAATGTTAGCAAATATTACAATAGCCTGATATATTCATATGGTCTTTAATGAGTATGTGTGTTCATTCTTGCATATTCAGCTACCTTCTGGCAGCCATCCCTGACTGGAAGCACAGAGGTCTATGGACTCAGCAGATGAAAACTGAACTCACCAGCTCTCCTCTCACAATTTCCCCCCCTTTCTCCTCTATTCCACTGCTTCCCATCTCAGTGGATGGCATCATCAGCTACTGAGTACGTTAATTCAGAAAACAGGTAGTCATCCTTTTCTCCTGCATCCCCATCTCAAAGTCCTATCCATTCTCAATTTTTAATATCTCTCAAAGTTGTTCTCTTATCTCTATATCCTTATTTTGGATCTTTCTTTTTATCTCTTAACTGTCTTTTTCTGTTTTGTTTCTAGAGTGGCCTTCCTAATTTACATACCTAATCCCATCATTATTCTACTTAATATCCTTCACAGGCCTTTTCTTGCCTTCAAGAGAAAATCCCAAGTGTGTAGTAAAGCACACAGACTTAATTGCTTGTCTGTATCTCTAGACTTATTTCTGGCTTCTTTCAGTTCCCTGAATCTTGCAGACTCTGTGGTTTCTATGCATTTGCTAGCACTGTAGCCTCTTCCCATATGGCCTTCTTCCCCACCGGAGAACTTGTAAATCTCGAAGACTCACTGAGGGCTTCACTCCCTCTGAACAAGCCTCTCAGGTTGCCTCCTTCTTCCCCGCGCTGTCAGCCGCGCTGGGTCAGGGGCCTCTACAATGTGCTGCCGTACGCTTTGGCATTTACCTCTATCCCAGGACTTACCCCACAGAACTGAAATCTTATCTGTTTATTTGCCTCTCTACTAGATTATAAACTGCTTATGTGTAATAGTGGGTCTTGTTCATCTTGTATCCTTACTTCTTAGCACAATTCTTGCTGACATTCAATAAATGTTTTCTTCAAAAGCTTTTACATACTGTTAGTAAGGTATGTTAATGAACAGCCTGACAAATCTTAGAAAGCCAAAATGTTATTCTCAGAATGGATTACTGACTCATGAATTCATGTATCACTTAACATTTTTAAAAAATTGCATATAACATGTAACACTAGTTTAACAGCATGTGATCAAAACAAAATTTGGTCCTTAATTTTTTTTTTTTTTTTGCATTATATCTGGATCATTTTTTGCAGTCTGACTTAGAGAATCTAGGAAATTTTAAGAGGTAAGCAATTAAACTAAGATTTAACTTTCATATTTGTCTGAAGTTCTTTATTAGAACTTCATAATTATTTAGTAGCAGTTTGTTATATCCAATTATAGCTTGTTACAGTTTTTAAGGAAATGTTGCTCTTGTTAATAAATATGAATCTAGATTATACAAAACAGTATTTATACTGATAATCAGAAGTTCATTTGATACTCTGAAATATATTATATTCCTTGTATTCAAATAAAGGCTGAGCAATATTTATGTTTTTATAGCTTCCATAGTATCTTTATACACTGAGGTATTTTAAAGTCTTATCTTGGTGGTGCTAAAGATTCCCACAGATTTTTTCGGGTCTGATTCATTCATATCAAAGTGAGAGGGGGTCTTCCCTGGTGGTGCAGTGGTTGATGCAGGGGACATGGGTTCGTGCCCTGTCCGGGAGGATCCCACATGCCTCGGAGGGGCTGGACCCGTGAGCCATGGCCGCTGAGCCTGCGCGTCCGGAGCCTGTGCTCCGCAACGGGAGAGGCCACAACAGTGAGAGGCCCGCGTACCGCAAAAAAAAAAAAAAAAAAATGAGAGGCCGTCTGACCTAAATTAATCATCAAGCTAGAAGGTTTGAAAAAATATGTTGTTTGTTAATTTTATGTAGTATATGTTATACAATAAAATATTAGTGGCTACTAGGTAAAATGAGTTACAGTTTATGGTACAGTTGCATTCCCTAATATTAAAACATTAAGGGCCTGAATTTTCCTACATATGTAAAACATTGTTACTGAATCAGTTAATTTATATTACTGATGACATATTTCAACTAATGATGT